GAATTCCAACAGACGCATCAAAAAAGTCATGTGATTTGGTTTTAATGAAACATGTGATAACAAAAATGGTAGAAAGTAACAGGTACAGTATGTTTGGGTGGACGACGAGGTGCATTTAATTGGTATATACAAGAAAGAAGTGACGAGCATCCTTGATGGAAAACATCATCGAAACGCGCAAATCTTCCAAGAAGCGTAAGCGGAGATGATTCTGAAAGGATGTAACTATGGTATGACATGTTTACATGTTCTAAGATGCAAGTAAGTTATTATATATAAAATATTCTTTCTGTTAACGCAGCAACTTGCATTTTTCTTTTGATATTAGGCGCAAGTTCATCAGGAAGTGATGATTTTGTTCTCTTGGACTCGTTGGATGGAAAATGTGATATTCCAGTTTTGCACATCAATTTAATTCCTATCTTTAGATAGAAGCATGGCTTATGTTGCGTTTGTTTTGTTAGCGTCCTCATTTTTGTCCTAAATGTGTGAAGAAGGGTGTGAAGAAGAACAGCATTAAAAAAAAACCTGGAGGGAAACGCCAAGATGAGCTTAAACAAATTGAGTAGGATAAACATTTTATCCAATTAGAAAAAAATGTGCATAAACTATGATGGAAATGCATTTACTGAATAAATTCCAACAGGCGCATCAAAAAAGTTTTGTGATTTTGTTTTAACAAATCATGTGATAACAAAAAGGGCGGAGAGTAACAGGTACTGTATGTTTGGGTGGACGATGAGGTGCGAACATTTTTAAATGATATATACAAGTAAGAAGTGACGAGCATCCTTGATTCCAAGAAGTGTGAGCGGAGATGATTCTAAAAGGATATAACTATGATATGAAACGTCTACCTGTTCTAAGATGCAAGTAAGTTATTATATATGAAAAATGCCTTCTCTTATCAAAGCAACTACTATTTTTTTTTATATTCGCCGCAAGTTCATCAGGAAGTGACAATTTTTTTCTCATGGACTCATTGGATGGAAACGCTGCTTTATACTGAAATGTTTTATGTGATATTCCAGTTTTGCGCATAAATTTAATTCACATCTTTAGATGGAACAATGGCTAATGTTGTGTTTGTTTTGTTAGCGTCCTCGATTTTGCCCTAAATAGCAAGTGTGTGATGAGGAACAGCATAAAAAAATCCTGAATGGAAATGCCAAGATGTGCATAATAATAATTAAGTAGGATAAAAAAATCTGCATAAACCATAATGGAAACGCATTTACTTAGTATTATATAGTATAGTATATTAGTATAGTATGGAATTAGTAAATTCCAACATGCCCATCAAAAAAAGTCATGTGATTTGGTTTTAACGAAACATGTGATGACAAAAATGGTATGTTTGGGTGGACGATGAAGAACGAACATTTTTAAATAATATATGCAAGAAAGAAGTGATGACTACCCTTGATGGAAAACATCAATCTTCTAAGAAGTGCGAGCGGAGATGATTCTAAAAGGATATAACTATGATATTAATTGTCAACGTGTTCTAAGATGCAAGTAAATTATTATAAAGTATATGAAAAATGCCTTCTCTTATCAAAGCAACTTCCATCTTTCTTTTGATATTTGGCGCAAGTTCACCAGGAAGTGTCGATTTTGTTCTCTTGGACTCGTTAAATGGAAACGGTGCTTTATTCTCAAATATTTTATGTGATATTCCAGTTTTGAGCATAAATTTAATTCACATCTTTAGATGAAAACATAGCTAGTGTCGTCCTAAATAGCAAGTGTGTGATGTGGAACAGCGTACCGCCCCATGATGTCTCTGCTGAGACAGGTAGCGAGTTCTGGCAAAGAGTCTCTTTGGTTTCTCCTGATTCCACACTCCTGTTGGCAAACACACAAACACACACAGATGCAGTGAGTTAAGACTTTGAACACATATTATACAGTTGTGCATCGGACTTTTCATTTGATCATTTCCCAGAACGCCAGGTGGCACTTGAAAGAGACGGCAGATATCTTCTCTTCAGTCGGTTCACATGAGAATAATGAGTCTTTCACTGGAGCTGTTGAGTGCAGGCTAGTCAATGGCGAGACTGTGCGTGGAGAAATGCGAAAAGAAAATCGCTTTGCTTCTGAAGCTCATTAGTGACGTTGACAGAAGCTGCAAAATCACTGAGAAGAATAGCAGCCTTTGTGATTTTCTACGACACTATTTTGATGTGTGAAAACCAAAACATTATCAGGTGGTCGTAGTCAATGATTTAATACGGAGTGAGAAACGAAGCATCATCAGATAACAATTCATCAGTGGATGTCCAAACAGGTGTTTTGTCAAGGGAAACGCACATGCACATGCACACACAGTGGGTTTTTGTGTTTAATAGGGACTTTCCATTGACAAAAGGATTTGTGTATTATACAGTTGTGTGTTGTGTTGTATGTTGTGTATTCTATTCCCTCTACCCCTTCACATAAATTATCAGTCAGAAGTTCAAAAAACTTCATTCTGGATGATTTAAGATCTATACTCTTTAACAACAACAACAACAAAAGTCCCCACAAGGTCACAAATGTCTGATGTTGCTATCCTTGAGAGGACATTTGGTCCCCACAACATACTAAAAACCAGAACCACACATACACATATTTAATTAATTAAAATAAACAATAATTTTAATAAATTAAAATATTTTTTTAACAATTTTAAATAAGGACAGTTCAGTTTTAATTTTCTAACATCACCTAGCTATAAAAGAAACTGCTTTACAATATATATATATATACATACATACACTATATATATATATATATACTTATGTATATATATATACATACACACACTATATATATATACTTATATATATATATATATATATATATACTCATTCTGGATACTACACACATGCACACACACATTTAAAACACTGCAAACCAGAACAGCCAAATACAGTGGTTCTCAAAGTGGGGGTTGGGACCCCCTGGGGGGGTCGCGAGACAATGACTAGGGGTCGCTTAGTGATTTCCAAAACTTAAATAAATTTTAATAAACTATTTGAATGACCATATATTATTCATAATCCACAGAACATACCTAATAGTTGCATTAAAGAAACAACAACAATAACATACAAATACAAATCATCCTTCAGCCTTTAATTTTTATATTAAAAAGTAATTAAATGACTATAACAACATTATATAGATAATAGACTGTTGCATTTTGTGTTGTCAATATGTTCATGTTTATTTAAGCCTATAGTTGTGTGTGCAACATTTGTATATTTACAGGATGACGACCTTGAAAAATGGGGGTCGGGAGTCACTGATATTGTTATTTTAGAGGTCGCGGGCTGAAAAGTTTGGGAATCCCTGGTCTAATAGATAGTAGACAAGCAGGTAACAATCTCAGACTGTGCACATCATTTAAAATCTGACTGAATATAGCAACATCACTTATTTAATGTAGCTTGGTTATTACTATAATATAATATAGAATCAAAAGCAGATAATTTAAAATGATTATTAAAATGATGCACATATACAGCTATGTATATTATAGAGGCATAACTGTTTAAAATAAACAAATGTTTTAAATATTACATTATCAGTGTAAGCTGATGGTCAAATTAACACATTAAATACTGTTTTATAGAAAAATATCTACGTACTATAATATCATGTAAATACAAACAACTATATGCATTTCATACAGCAATTCTCATTTTAGCAAACTGAAAAAGGTTTCTGCTTATTTGTCAATATTCTAACTTTTAGAATGTCAATCACATAAAATTATTGGACTTTAACATTTAATTTACGATTTTTGTATGCTTACTAATAGTCTGTTAATACATACAGTACAAACATATATTATTTTATATACATTAACTCGTAAATATCTGGTTTTATGTTGCTGGTTAAATATATTTTTTAACATTTTAAGAGAAATTGTATTAAATTAAATGAACAAAAAATTCAATTCAACTACAGTATATATATATATATATATATATATATATATATATATATATATATATATATATATATATATAGTGCTCAGCATATATGAGTACACCCCCACAAATCCCTCATTTAAATTAATATTTACTATAGGATGCTTTACAATATTATATTTGTGCATATTCATTAGTTTAAAAAATAAGTAGCCCAAATTTGTATGTTAGGGAAAAAAATTAAATAAAATTATCAAAAACCGCAAAATGATTTGCAAAGTGTTGCAAAAAAAAATTGCAATAAAAAAAAACAAAGTTCACTGAAAAAAGTGTTGCATGCAGAACTGTTGCAAACAAATTATTTGGGATAATTTAAACAAACAAATTAAGTTGAACATTATTAAACTTAATTTGTTTGTTTAAATTTAACACAAATAAACTGTTTGCAACAGTTCTGCATGCAACACTTTTTCAGTGATCTTTGTTTTTGTTTTTATTGCAATTTTTTGCAACATTTTGCATGAATTTAAATGCAGCATCTTTCCATTTCTAAAGATGTTCTGGCTAATATTTTATTTCAAATATAAATATATGTTTAATAAACCAGTTTTGTTCAAATGCACCAACAGATATTGCCTATATTCACTGAGAAATGGATAAAAGTATTCATTTTCAAAATGTGCTTCACTCATTTATGCTGAGCACTATATACTGTACAGTTGAAATCAGAACTATTAGCCCCCCTTGTTTATTTTTTCCCCTCAATTTCAGTTTAACTGAGAGATTTTTTCAACCCATTTCTAAACATAAAATTTGAGTAAGTCATTTCTAATAACTACTTTATTTGATCTTTGCCATGATGACAGTAAATAATATTTGACTAGATCATTTTCAAGACACTTCTATACAGCCTTAAGTGCCATTTAAAGGCATAAGTAGGTTTATTAGGTTAACTAGGTTAGGGTAATTAGCCAAGTTATTGTATCAATGGTTTGTTCAGTAGACTATGGAATAAAAAAATATTATTTAAAGGGCCTAATGAAATTTATGTATTAATGTATTTAGTCATTTTTTGCAATATATTGCATGAATTTAAATGATTTGTCTTTCCATTTTTAATGATCTTCTGTGACTCAAATAACATATTAATAAATATATCTGTTTAATAAATCTGTCAACTCATCATATATATTTATAACTACAGTATATTTAGGCTGCTTCTTGTTTTCTGTTCATATTTTCAGTTATGAGTCCATTTTGTAATTTAAGAAAATAATATAAATCAAGTTTCATTAAAAAAAAAAATACGAACTACTACATCTTCATAGACACAAGTAAAGGTATAGTATTCTGTGGTTTAAACGTTCACCGCACAATACATTCTATTATATTTCCAATATCACAGATAACTGTATACTTTATATATGCACTAATATATTTTTAGTTACAATCTATTGTTACCTGTTGTAATAGCAGATCCTTGGTGCGCCACGTCGTTTTCATGCTTTTTGCGCGATTCTATCTTGCTGGCTTCGCATGTGATGGACTGAACTACTGTGAAGAACAAGCAGATGAAGAGCACAAATCCTTTCAGCACCGCCGTCGTCATTTTCCGACCTGATAAAGGGGAGTTTTTATGAAGTGAGTCTCCTTATTCTGTCCTCTGATAGATTGATAGAGATCAACAAGTGAGATGGTTGGTAGAGCCCATTCTCCCCGTTTATAAAGGCAGAACAGAACTCATCCACGCCCACACGAGCAGTCCTCAATCAGCTCGAGGAGAAAACCAAGAGCCAAAGTCTCATCTCATCCATCACAGCGCTGAGAAACACGAGCTGCTGCCAATCAACACTCCGAATCGATCTACTATGGCGGAGCAACTGGCCGAATCACACCAAGGCAGCAGGGAACGTACTCAGAACTTTGACTGTACGTCCTGGCAATGTTCTTTCGGCGTGATGTGCACTGCAAACGTTCCTCCTGTACGGTTCACAGTACATTTCTCTCGAGCATTCAGCTATTATTTATAATGTAAAGCATATTAATTGTATATTTTGCTTTATAATATTCAGATTACATACACAGTATTAGTAGAATAGTAGGCTCGTGATAATACAAGTAAATAAATCAGTAAACTTTGGGGAAAAACAGTCTCGTCTATTATGGTAGGATATTAGGGGCTGTCAGTCATCTGCACTCGAAATAAATATACTATGTTGTGAGATTTTAAATTACTGATTTTTTCAAATTTCTTTTTGCTTTAGAATAGATTATAATACAACAATAATAACGTTATGAGCAAATGCTCTTTCAGTAACCTTCAAAATATATTGTTCTCTCTATTCAGCTATAATGATTATTTTAGTTACTTTTTTGTTTCAGATTATTTAGATAACATTCAAAAATATTGCTTAATGGCAAAATGATTCATTACAATTTTCATAAACAAGAAAAGAAATAATATTACTAGTCAGACTTTATTTTTAGGGTGTCCAAATTCATTAACTACTGAGTAACATCAAGTAATAGGGTGCAGTTGAACAAAACTGCACCCTATTATCCCCCCCCCCAAACTTCTGTTTAAAGGAGAGATTTTATTCAACACATTTTAAACATAATAGTTTTAATAACTCGTTTCTAATCACTGATTTATTTTATCTTTGCCATGATGACATTTCATAATATTTTACTACATATTTTTCAATAAACCTCTATACAGCTTAAAGTCACATTAAAAGACTTAACTAATTAGGTTAACTAGGCAGGTTAGGGTAATTAGGTAAGTTATTGTATAGTGATAGTTTGTTTTGTTGACTATCAAAGAAATTGCTTAAATAATTTAGCTAGTAAAAATAATAAAATAATAATAATAAAAATAAAAAGCTAATAATTGTGTCCCTAAAATGTTTTTATCCTAGCCGAAATAAAACAAATTAAAAAAAGCCTTTATCCAGAAGAAAAATAGTATTAGACATACTGTGAAAATGTCCTTGCTCTGTTAGACATCATTTCGGTAATATTTAAAAATAAAAAAATAAAATAAAAGAGGGGCTAATAATTCTGACTTCAACTGTACGCAGAGCTAGTGTTTCCTCCCATTTCAATATACTTCTGGCGAACGGTTATTGTGATTTTTTTCAATTTTATACGGTTCCTTTCACAGCATCGATGTTGTAATGTGATTAAAATACAATCAGTTAAATAGACTTCGGCATTCATTTAGTTGCTGAAGCCTAAACTGACATGTTTACTTGCACGTGCCTGTCTGGAACAGCAGGTTAGCACAGAAACGCCATTGGAAATACTGGAGTAAAATAAAAGTAAAGACTTTTAAGACATGGCGTGGAAACAATGTAATTTAATGCAGGGCTTCTCGTTCATTCTGAGACCAACTTTAAAGCGTATATCAATCAGGCAGTGGAGATTGTTGATTTTTAAAGAAAAATCAACAATCATATTAACTTAATCAATTTGTGTTGGGACAACATGAATGAATTGTGTGGTACCCTGCATTTTTACAGTGTATTATTTTATATTCATTCATTCATTTTCCGTCGGCTTAGTCCAGGGGTGTCCAAACTCGGTCCTGGAGGGCCGTTGTCCTACATATTTTAGTTTAAACCCCAATTAAACACACCTGAACCAGCTAATCAAGTTCTTTCTGCACTGAAAAAAGTGTTGCATGCAGAACTGTTGCAAACAATTTATTTGTGTTGAATTTAAACAAATTAAGTTTATTAATGTTTAACTTAATTTGTTTGTTTAAATTCAACACAGATCAATTGTTTACAACCACCTTACGTAAAAAAAAAATTGAGTAAATCCAAGGAGTCATCTCTGAATATTTTTTTTCAGTGTGGGTACAATAAACTTCCAGGGAGGTGTGTTGAAGGAAGTTGGAGCTAAATTATGCAGGACACTGGCCCTCAGAATTTGGTTTAGTTCCTTTATTCATCAGGGGTCAGAATAAGCCATCAACTTATCCAGCATATGTTTTACATAGCAAATGCCCTTGCAGCTCCAACCCAGTAGTAGGAAACACCCATACACTCTCGCATTCACACATTTACACCACGGCCAATTTAGTTTATTGGTCACTTATAGCTTGTCTTTGGACTGTGGGGGAAACCGGAGCGCGCGGAGGAAACCCATGCGAACACGGGGAGAACATGCAAACGCCGACTGACCCAGTAGGGACTCGAACAAGCAACCTGTTTGCTATGATGTGACAATGCTAACCGTTGAGCCACTGTACCACTTTTATTTTAGATTATAGTTTCTATTTTCAAAATATTTAGACTCCATTAAAATGAATTAGCTCAAAATGTCTCGATCAAACAGCATTTGGAAACAATGTCAGGGCTTAATTGCAAAGTTAGCAAAACATTCATAATTATTATTTGTTAGCTGCACTGGAAGCTTCTTGCATTGACAAATAATAACGAAGAGATTTGTATGAGGGCATTTCCTGCTCATAAACGTATCCAAAGTTTACAGCCTCGTAACATGTTTTGACCTCGGAGTTGTCTGACCTCCCGCTCCATCAGGGCTGTTTTGTTTAAAGTTGTTTTACAGATGCGCTATTGGACCAAACTCTGGGTGCAACTGGGCCACGCCAGGACCCTAAACCTCTCAAACCTTCAGATTGTTGTCTGTTTGGGTAACTGTCCTGCTGAAAACTCCAAGCGCTCGTATCGATCACAGCATGATGTCCCTGCAGCATTTTTTTTTTTCTGGAGCTCTTTTATGAGTTTTCCAGTCCCTGCTGCAGAAAAGCATCTTCAGGTCTTGATGTCGCCACTGCTGCACTGTAAAATATGCTGGGTTCCACACAATTCCTTTATGTTGTCCTAACACAAATCATTTAAGTTAATTGCTTTTACAAATGTAAGATGATTGAGCATAAAACATTCAAGTTGTGTTGATTCAGCTCATTTTGAATAAGTAGTTTAAACAAGTAGCAAAACACATTTTTTGAGAATATTATGTGTCTGATATAGTAGTTTAATAGCTGGATCCATCAGGGTTATTACTGTTAAAGGTGCAGTAGGTGATTGTCTTTAACTTTATTATCGTCTATTAACTTTTTTTGTTGTGCTGGTTGAAAGTCTCTTCACATTCCAATAGTAATGAATAAAAGTAAATGATCTAAATGTATTGATATGTATTTTTATATTCTGGGTAAGGCACGAGACAAAAAAAAAGTTCATCCAATTAAAATTTGTCAGGCTGATAATTTCCATAATTCTGATAAGTAAAACTGTCTGTCAACAAATGTTAATTTATACATCTGCGCACCCCTGTTCACGAAGACTGATTTGCCATTTGCACATCCACAGAGACAGTCCTCGCTGCATCCTGCAGCTCAATGACATAGTTGACCAGGTCAGCTACATAGCTGACGATCACTTACACCTCCCCTACCCTAAACCCAACCATCACAGTAGCATGGGTGCTACCTTAGTGGGTGGTACAAGGTCTGCCACATAGTTGACGATCGCCTACATCTCCCCCTACCCTAAACCCAACCGTCACAGTAGCATGCATGCTACCTTAGGGGGTGGTAAAAGGTCTGCTATGTAGTCGACGAATCGCCTACACCTCCCCTTACCCTAAACCCAACCGTCACAGTAGCATGCATGCTACTTTAGTGGGCGGTACAAGGTCTGCTATGTAGTTGACGATCGCCTACACCTCCCCCTACAGTAAACCCAACCGTCACAGTAGCAGGGGCGCTACCTTAGAGGACGGTCCAAGGTTCACTACATAGTTGACGATCGCCTACACCTCCCTCTACCCTACACCTAATCGTCACAGTAGCATGGGCACTACCTTAGAGAATGGTCCAAGGTTCACTACATAGTTGACGATCGCCTACACCTCCCTCTACCCTAAACCCAATCGTCACAGTAGCGTGGGCGCTACCTTAGTGGGCGGTACAAGGTCCACTATGTAGTTGACGATTGCGTACACCTCCCCCTACTCTAAATCTAACCTTCACAGTAGCATGGGCATTAACATAATGGGCGATACAATGTCCACAACATAGTTGACGATCGCCTACACCTCCCTCTACCCTAAAACCAATCGTCCCAGTAGCATGGGCATTACTTTAGTGGGCGTTACAAGGTCTGTTACGTAGTTGATGATCGCCTACCCTAAACCCAACCGATACAGTCACATGGGTGCTACCTTAGTGGGCGGTACAAGGTCTGCTACAGAGTTGACGATCTCCTACACCTCCCCTTACCCTAAACCTAACAGTCACAGTAGCATAGGCGTTACCTTAGTGGACGGTACAAGGTCCGTTACGTCATCGGTTAGTCAGTCAACAGCAGCCTCTGGTGGATTTATATGAGAAGGTCGGAACTGCACTCGCGAGAGAAATTTGAGATCTCAAAAATTGTACACAGCAGCCTCAGGTGGACTAGCAAAAACAAAAACTGCAAAAAAAATAAAAAAAATAAACCCATCCCTGGGAAACATCCACACACACACTTATACACTATGGACAATTTAGCCTACCCAATTCACCTGTACCACATGTCTTTGGACTGTGGGGGAAACCAGAGCACCCGGAGGAATGCAAAGTCCACACAGAAACGCCAACTGAGACGAGGATCGAACCAGCGACCTACTTGCTGTGAGGCGACAGCACTACCTACTGCG